CCACTGCCTGACCTGTGCAGGAACTAACTCTTCTGTGGCCCTCTGGGAATTTTCAACTGAGATATTACAAGGGTCCTCAAAAAGTTTGTGGATTCATATTATCTTTTAATTCTATTTTTTCATGAACTTTTTAAGGTACCCTGATACATTCACTGCTTTTCTGTCATTTAACCTGCATGAGTCTGAGGTATACATTGCAGAATTTAAACATAAGGTTTCTGTTTCTATAATCTATGCCTTTTTGTTATATTTCCTGACATTTTGTAACTCCTGAAATTTGAAGGGAACTATTTATTGTTTTTATCCAATGCATTATGTTCTGTGGCTTATAAGAACATTGCCAGTTAAGCCCAGTGTCTGGTCCTGGTGCTTTATCAGGAAATGAACATCAGTCAGCACCTTAGAACTCAGAAAAATGCAGTTTTTCTGACCACATTCCATGAGAAACATCTGTAACTGTTTCCTGAGCCGTGTAACATTAGCCTCTGGAGAGGACCCATAAAAGATTTTGCCTCTGTTCCTTGGGAATTTGCAGGAAAAGGTTGTCTGTGTGAGCCCAGAATATCTTATGTTGCAACTCTGAGACTTAATAAGGATTGAAAAGGGGTTTCCACTCATTAAAGGAAGTTTATCAAAGAGTATTCCAGAGAATCAAAGCAGCTAAAAGATAAATTTAGAACAAAGTCCTCAAAACTATGTATGATAAATTCACATAGAAGTGAGTACCTTTATAGATATTCTGCTTAAAAATTGCCTGAAAGAATTAACTTCTCAGCAGCCTTTTTAGTATCAATTGCCAGCCCTATTGTAGATTCATGCCAGATGAACTCAGCCAGTGCTGCTCAACAGAACTTTCTGCAGCAATAGACAGGTTCTGTGTCTGTGCTACCCAGTATGGTACCCACTAGCCACAGTTGGCTATTGGGAACTTGACATTTGGCTAGTGCAATTGAAGAACTTAATTTAAAATTTTTTATCTAAATGTAAATAGCCATATGTGGCTACTGTAGCAAACAAAGATGGACAACACAGTAATTATAGCTTGCCTCTTAGATGAAATAATGTTTTTTATCCTTTGCACCAGAAGAAAGCCTAGGGGTTTTTTTGTTTTTGTCTTTTTAGACTTTTCACTAATTTCTATTTTTTTCTTCGGAACAGAGTTTATGAGAAATTGGTTATAATATCCCTCAATGCCATACTAACAGAGTTTTGAAGTAATTTCTAGTTTCTAAGCTATCTCCTTCAGGTTGAGTTTTCCATAGTTTAAGTACAATTGTTTTGACAAATATCAGATATTTTAAGAATTGAATGTTACAAACCTAATCACAAAGGAAATATTCCTTCCTAGATCACTGTTTAAAACTAGAGATTGTTGTTCTGGAGGACTGTAGTGCTCCATATTTTTAAATAGGTGTTTCCAAAGGGGGGCAGGAGTATTCAGAAAATGAACCAAAAACCTATGACCACAGCACCCTGAATGCGCCTAAGTTCATCTAATCTCGAAAGCTAAGCAGAGTTGGGCCTGGTTAGTACCTAGAAGGGAGAAAATGAACAAAAACAGTAACAACAGGAAAAGAAGAGAAATATCATTAATGCATTTTAAATTAAATAAGCAGGAGGCCATCGGCCTTAGGCTGTCTCTGTACTTTTGAGTTTCTACCCAATGAACTGCAACCTAACTTAGTATGTAAACAAATTATAAAGTTAACTTAGGAGTATAATAAAAAGCTGAGTCTCAGCCAATCACAGGTTGCCAACTCATCAGACCATATCTAAATAAGGCAAAGATGGAGCTGTAACCAATTAACCTATTTCTGGACTTCTCACTTGTGCACATTCTTTGCTTGCAAGGGTCCAATAAAACCACAGCCATGGTTGAACTGGAGAATGTAGCCAGCTCTGCTGATCCCCTACTCTAAGGTAATTTGGGGAAAGGTCAGGGAAGCATAATATCCTATCCAATACACCGGATTAGATGATATCAGAAAGCAGAGTGGTTCTATGATTGAGTAATGTAATAAATTCTACCTAGAAGGAGGGAAGACAAGACCAGTGACTCCTTTTGGCCAGGGTAGGGGATATTTGGTCACTTTTGTGGTTTAGACAATGTTTATGTTTTGGTCAGTATTCCAACCTGATTACAAAAAAGTCTTGTTTTTGTCTTGATCCATCACAGCCAGAGTGGCCTTATCTGATGTTGGTGTTCTGGGAAATTATTTATGTTCCATAGGAGAACACCAAGGACCAGTTGTGAGTGCCCAGCCAGCTCAGAGCTGTCAGGGGTTGCTTTTCTCTTTCTCTCTAGCCTTTAAACTATTACAGGGCTAAAATGTTTGTTCTTATTAACTATAATGTGATATTTCTTAAGGATTATATCTTATTAAAAAATACTTACTGACACATTAAAACATAGCGAAGATGACTTGTTATTCAGGATCACTGCAATAAATATAAAGACCACTGCAACAGGGTCTGGCAGTGAGGGAGAGGGATTGGGCTGAACTCCAAATACCACATGGATAAGTGGGAATTTATAACCAAGGAGCAAGGTGAGGCCAGTGGATGGAAAATTACTAAGAGGAAACATCAGGGGTAAGGGGGACTCTGGCTAAACTGACCTAGCAGGATTCTTGCTGAAAGCAGGCCAGGGGTATTAGACATCAGCCTGGGGGGATGGTGGAGGATGAGGAGCCCAATGAGACTTGGAAAGTGATCAGATATTGAGGGTGGGGAGTTCTTGCTAAACTCACTGAGCAGGTCTCTTTGCTAAAACTGGATTTGACATGAGTCACTCTTTGCTCATTTAATGAATGTTTACTACTCTCATATCAACTGATGCATGCTAGGGTGTAATAACTGCTTGTTGAACTCATTACTTAAACAGATGGTTCACATTTATGTCCACAGTTATATCAACCTATAGCTGAGCACTGTCTTGACTGTAAGCTGAAAGGGTAAGTTGTAGTAAGTAGTTCAACTAACTTCGCTAAAAAAAAAAAAAAAAAAAAAGAAAGTAAAAAAACATGAGTAGCGTTCGTTTCAATCCAGGCCCAGGCAGGGACGGAGCGCCTCCTCCACGGAGCTGCGGAGAGGCGGCCCCCCCGCCCCGGCTGCAGATGGCTGTGCGCAGGCGCCATTTCCCTAGCACGCATGCGCTGGTTCCCAGGCCCGTCTTCTCTAGTCCGTGGACTCGGATTGGTTGAACTTTCGTCATCCTGCCGTGGGGACCAGAAGTTTTCTCCGGACGCGCAGGCCCCGCGGGGCTCCGGGGCTGCGCCTGCGCCGTTCAGCGAGCCACTCTCAAGGTTCTCCCAGGCCTGCGACCCGCGGAAGGGCGAGCCCTTGTTTCCGGTGGAAGCCAAGCCCCGCCCGCCGAGGCTGTCCGCTGCGCCTGGGGCCGGGTAGGCCCCTGAAGTGCCCCGGCCCCCTCCTCTCCTCCAGCCGAGGTCGCTGGGGTGGGCAGAACCCTCGGGGCTGCTGCTGCTTGTGTGCTTTGCTCGTTGCTCGGCCCCACCCCTTGGAACCCGAGCCCGAGCTCGGCTGGGCTGAGCTGCTCCCTTCCCCTCGCTGCACCTTTACTAGGGATCAGCGTTACGGGAAAGGGCCATAGCGCAGGCTTGAGTGGCTGTTCATTCGCCATCGCTTCACCCCCTGTGAAGCTGGAGGGGTGTGAGGAGCTTAGCGCTAGAAAGTAAAAATTTCACTTTCGATTTTAAAGGGATCTAAAGATCTAAACAGATCTAGGTTACTGCTGACTTGTTGCCAGCTTCTGGAAATTTTCCCTGTGAGCTTTCCTTGTGCTTCTCACGATTTAGGCAATTTTTAGTGCAGATGGGTGCACCTCGCCCGTACTGTAATATTACTGTTTCCAAGCTTTCATGTGCATTCGGTCAGCAAATGTTCAGAGCCTACTCTTGCTGGCACTCTCTGAACTATTTTTTATATGTATTCAGAAGCTAGAGTATATATATGTCTGTATTTAAGTATTATTTCCGAGCTGTCCAGTATGGTAGCCACTGGTTATAGAAGGCTTGAGCACTTAAAATGTGGCTAGTCCTAACTGAGATGTGCTGTACGTGTAAAACTGAATTTTGGAGAATTCTCACAAAAAGAGTGTAAAATATCTCAATCTGTTTGTATCAATTGCATGTTGAAATGACAGTATTTTGGATACACTGGGTTAAATAAAATGTATTATAATTAATTTCACCTATTTTCATTTTTTAGCGTGGCTACTAGAAAATTTTAAGTTGTATTTATGGGTTACATTATATTTCCATTGGACAGCAATGCTCTAGAAAGAGGTCAACAAACTATGGCCTGCAACCAAATCCAGCCTGCCTGTTTTTGTTAACAAGCTGTATTGGAACAAAGTCACACCCATTCATTTCTGTATTTTCTATGTCTGCTGCTGTTCCTGCTATAAGAGCAGCAGAGTTGAGAAGTCCATAGAGAAATTGTATGGTTGCAAAGCCTCAAATATTTACTGTCTGATCTTTTACAGAAAAGGTTTGCAGACCCCCTGCTCTACAACAATGCCTAGTATGGTAGATAGTTTTAGACCTTTTCATTGTAGACACACATAATGGTCAGTCAGGCTTACTGTGTCACAGGCATAGTTAGGTACTTTTGTAAAGACTATCTCATCTGATTCTCATATTAATCCTAGGATGTTGAATTTCCCCCATTTTGTAGATGAGGAAATTGAGGCATAAAATGGTCAAGAAACTTATGCAGCTTGCTCAGCACCCCTCATTTCTGGGAACTGTAAATTCTTGACCTCCTTATTTAAATGGATTGACTCCTCAGACCCACAGTGGGCACCATGTGTTTTTGTTTTGTTTTGTTTTTTTGGAAGTAGAATGTTCCGAATGTTTTTTGAACTAGAATTGAGATGGGCTCGGTTTCCCAGAGAAGAAGCCAAGGGGCGCTGGGCTTAGGTGGGATGAATCAAGCAAGCTGGTATGCAGCAGTGAAAAGAAATGAAGCTTACAAGCAGAGAGGAGAGAGAGCATCGTGGATGCTTTTCACTCATTTAACAACAGCAACAACAAAACTTGTTGAGTAATAGTAAGCACTGGCCAGGTGTGTATAAGTGAATAAAACAGACATTGCTCTTATGGTCTTGTGGGAAAGGCAAACAATAAAAAGTGTTTTAAAATGTGATGAACACCATGAAAAAACACAATGTGCAAATTATTTGATGTTTTTAACAGATTTCCTCACCTGTAGGAGGGAGATAAGACTTACCCGCGTCCCGGGGATCTTGTGAGGACTGAAATGACATGAGTGTGCAGGGCACGTAGAGTTGCTCAATGTACCTTACCCTCCACTTTTGAGAGGTAAGTGAGGAGCTGAGTATCGGGAATTGTGTGCGTCATGACACTTAAAACATTACAGTCACCAGTTGTAATTTGTAGAGTGGGGTATTGAGTGAGTTGTACACAGCAGATGTTTTTAATATTTTCTGATGTAATGGGCTCTCTAGCAAAATCCAAAGCCAGAGAGGTTCTGTGCATTAAGTCCAGGAGCAGGACAGAGCTGTCTTTGGGGATGGTGGCAGCCTAACTGGGAGGTCCTTCTGCAGGGGGTGAGGGTTGTGCCTGTGTGTGGTTTCACTCAGAATCATCTGGAGAGCTGAACAAATACCCAGGCTCTACCTTCAGAGATTCTAATTCATTTTATCTGGGGTGAGGTCCTGGCATTATTTATTTTTGGTTTTTATTAAATTTCTCCCAGATGATTATAATATGCAGAGAGGGTTGAAAACCCCCAGTGGTGAAAGATAGGCCAGGCCCCTAGAGCTGCTGGAGCAAAGTCACAGAGCTGTGAAATGGGCAGTGCCCATCTGTGGTTGAGAGTAGTCTAGGCAGAGGCATGGAGGGGACACTTTTCATCACCAGGCCAAGGAGCTTGGGCTCCATCCTGAGAGCAGAGGAAAACTTCTGAAGGTCTTTAAACAGGAAAAGGAGGGAATATCTTACTGAGATCTGTACTAGAGGATGATCTCTAACGAAGTGCTGTGAATCCAAGTGAAGGCAATGGAGAAGCAGTTGCAGCTGGCTAGATGATGAGGAGCCCAGATAGAGTTTGGTACCCTCCCTTGTGTTTCTCCTAGCGGCCAGTGTCTAGCCTTGTGGAGAGACCAAGTGTGTCATAGTTGTCCAGTTTTGTCAGTATTCCTTCCTCTAGGCCACCAGCTCCTTCAAGGCAGAGACTCTCTCTTTAGACTCAGCATCTAGCATGAGCTAAATACATAATAAATGTTTGTTGAATGAACCGTGTAGACTCTGAACTGAGCTCACAACTTGCTTTGTCTTTTTATTGCAATTCTCAAAATTTTGTATCCTAGTGGCTTCCACATTGTACCTACCCTCCTAGGGCAATAAATGCTTCATAGCCACTCGATTGTCCCACAGCAGTAATAGAAAGTTCAACAGGATTTAAATGCTGTTAAAAATATGGAGGAGAGAGGAAAACAGTGTGGTGATTCTTCAAAAAATTAAAAATAAAATTACCATATGATCCAGCAATTCCACTTCTGTGTGTATACTCAAAAGAATTGAAAGCAGGGTCTCAAAGAGATATATGTACACCCATGTTCATAGCAGCATTATTCACAATAGCTGAAAGGTGGAAGCGACCCAAGTATCCATCAAGAGGTGAATGGATAAACGAAATGTGCTATGTCCATACAATGGAATATTATTCAGCCTTAAGAAGGAAGGAAATTCTGTCACATGCTGCAACATGAATGAATCTTGAGGACATTAAGCTAAGTGAAATAAGCTAGTCACAAAAGGACAGATACTGTATGATTCCACTTATATGTGGTCCCTAGAATAGTCCTATCCATAAAAATGGAAAGAAGAATGGTGGGTGCCAGGGTGGGGAATGGGGAGTTGTTGTTTAGTGGGTACAAGGTTTCAGTTTTGTAAGACAAAAAGAGTTCTGGAGATGGATGCGTGACAATGTGAATATACTTAACACTACAGAACTGTACACTTAAAAATGGTTAAAATGGGGGCCGAGCCCGTGGCGCACTCGGGAGAGTGCGGCGCTGGGAGCGCAGCAGCACTCCCACCGCAGGTTCAGATCCTATATGGGGATGGCTGTGCACTGTGCACTCACTGGCTGAGCGTGGTGCGGCCGGTCTCAAAACAAAAAATGGTTAAAATGGTACATTTTATGTTTTGTATATTTTCCCACGATTAAGAATTTAAAAATAAATAAATATGAAGGCGAGGTACATAAAAGACCATATGAAATGAAGAGCAAGTACTTTTTGGTTTTTTACACATGAATGCATTCACTTCTATAGATTTACAGGAGTGAGGAAAAAGATTTGCTGGTAAGACAAGCTGCTGCTTTCACCCTGCAGCTATAGAATTCTCCTTCAGAATCGCCTTGAAACTCTGGGCCGCAGTTGAGAAATTCTGACCGGAGTCAAACATTGTTTAACCTCCTCATGGGCACTCTAGGCCTATCTCTTATTAACCACCTTTCTGAACATCTGGCAAACCTCAATCCTGATTTTTTTCAGTAGGAATGCATACACGAGTGGAATGCAAGTAGAATGAGTGTTTCTTTGTTAGAAAACTTTCCAGCCCTTGGGGAGGGTTCAGGGGTGTTGAGCTACTTGATAACTTAACATTGTGACATGACCACTTCACTTCCGCAAGATCTGAAACAGACAATTCTGAGAGAAATGTTCAGCAATCAAGGGTGTATATTTTTTATTCTTCTGTGCTATCTTGCCTGTTCTTTGTTCATTGAGGCTTTGATTCTTAGGAAGACCTCTCTTACTGTTTTCAGTCTTTAAAAGTGGATTTTAAAAGGACAAAGAATTATCTTTAAATATTGGCTCTCAATAATTAGGAAAATTACCTTAAGATCCTGAATTAAGATCCTGAATTGATGGCCCACTGAGTGACTGTTAAACGGACTAAAAACAAAACTGAAAGTGACTGCCCAGGTTTTCTGTGTTCTAACTCCCTCTGGTGGTAAAAATGCAAGACTCGGAATCTTGGTCATCTTTGAGCTGTCCCAGCAGGAAAACACCAGTGGCCAAGGGCACTTAACTGTTTGTATTTTGGGATAGAGTTCAAGGGGAGATGCAACTGTGTGAGAGTCAGCGATCGACTTCTGAGGAAACTGTGACAGGTTGATGTAGCCACCTTTAAGGGACAATATTCTCATTCCAGAGGGTAGGGGGAAGTTGATTGATCCATTTCCCATACCATTTTTCAGTAGGTATATATCTTAAATGTATATAGTTTATCATGAAATTATATTAGACTAATAATTTTTCTGATTATGAAAATAGTACATGCTCATCACAGAAAATACAGAAAAAAGTGAAAGAGCAAGTAAAAATTACCTAAAATCTTGCCATTCAGGAAATGCTACTCTTTACTATTTTCTGTATCTCTCTTCAGCCTTTTTACATGTAATCTCTAAATAAAATTTGGATCAGACTCTACATTTTAAATAATAGCTTTATTCAAATGTAATTCACATACCGTACAATTTACCTATTTAAAATACACAATTCAGTGACTTTTAGTATATTCCCGGTTGTGCGACCTCTGTCCACAATCAACTGTAGGTTTTTGCCACCACCCCCCAAGAAAAACCCTGCACCCATTATCAGCCACTCCCCCGTTCCCTTCACCCCATTGCCCTTCTCCCCCAGCCCAGCCTAGCCGACCACTAATCTATTTGCTGTCTCTATAGTTTGTCCTATTCTAGACATTTCATATACATGAAATCTTACAATATGTGGTTTTTTGTGTCTGGCTTCTTTACTTAGCATAATGTCCTCAAGGTTTAGCCATATTGCAGCAGGTATCAGTACTTCATTCCTTTTTATGGCTGAATAATATTCTATTGTATGGATATACTACAGCATTTTATTTTTCCATTCATGAGTTGATGGACATTTGGGCTATTTCTTCTTTTGGCTATTATGAATAGTATAGTTTTACACCCTGATTTTTTTCACCTACCATTTTTTGACTATTTTCCCATGTCATTAAATATTTTCTGAAAACATGATTTTAAATGGTTATATTATTGTATCATCCTAGGAGTGTGCCATGTTTTGTTTTGTTTTGTTTCAGCCATTCTCCTGTTTGGGGGCCTTCTGGTTTCTTCTAAGTTTGAAGAAAATTCTTAAAGATATAGCTTCCACATCTCTTATTTCCTTAAAGTAAATTTATAGAAGTAGAATTACTGACAAAAAAGACATTACATTTTATGGCACTTGTCAGATGGTTTCTAGGAAGATTGTATTCTGTCTGTAATTGCTTCAGTGTTGTTAGCATGTGTATGTTCAGTGATGATTATTTAATATCAAGTGCTATAAAATGGAGTCCATGGATTTTTGAAAAGATGGGACCCCTGCCATCAAGACACCTATATTCAGTTAGACCAGACAGACAAATATAGATCCAAGGGTATTATGTAGGTAAGGTTATGTACATTATGTGGAGGGAAAAATAGACTGGTTAGATAAACATTTGCCTGCCTGGAATGAGATCCACACAGACATAATCATCAAGCAATTTTTTACACTTAAAAAAAAGTTTATGAAACCAAACTCTGTAGGGACCAGTTAGTCCAGAATCGTAAATCGTCTTGATCGTTGAGTCTGAACCTTCATCCTGTTGTTCAGAAGACTCAGATGTCAGCACAGTGTGACCTGTTGACTTTTGGAGCCCTCCAGACCTAGATATGACTACTTTCCAACCTGTGCTGTCTCAGTTTCTGTAGATTGCTTGAGACATTAGCATTCCCTTTTTGTCCTGTTTCTTTTTTTTTTTATTTTTCAGAAAAGTACCACTTTACAGATTATAAAATCAGCAAGTTGTGTAGCTGAGTGTGGGGAAAAATTAGTTCAGCATTGCTCAACATTACCATGTTGATGCTGACATCATCACCAAATTCCACCCAAATGAATTGAGTCATCTGGATCTAGAAAGATCATTGATCTGTAAAATAGGAGGTAGAGAAAGTTAGAGCAGGTTCTCCAGCAAGCCTCTTTTAAGCAGATGTTATGCAGAAACTCTTTGCAATGCCACTTTTTTAAAACTGCTGAAAAATAAAACTCTTGAAACTAAACCATACCACGTTGCAGATTCCATTTTCTAATGTGTCCAACCCATTTATATTACATAACTCCTTGAGAAGACATTGGCAGGAAGTGCTGTTTTACTATCTGGAAACTGTAGCTAACAAAGGCAAGCTTGAGAAACTGAAACCTCTTTATCTTTGCAGCTGTAAGGATGTCTGACAAGAACCAGATAGCTGCCAGAACTTCCCTTATTGAGCAACTAATGTCTCAAAGGAATTTTGAGGATCTTGGCAACCACCTTACTGAACTAGAAATGATTTATGTGACTAAGGAGCATCTCCAGGAGACAGATGTGGTCAGAGCTGTGTACAATGTCCTCAAAAACTGCCCCTCAGTGGCTTTGAAAAAGAAAGCCAAGTGTTTGCTCTCAAAGTGGAAAGCTCTTTATAAGGATACTCACTTCAAACCAAGGGACAGCCCTAAGTTATTGCCTATGGGTGATAATAAAGAAAAAAATTCAGGACTTTCTCATGATCCAAGTCAGGATGAGATAGTGAGCGTCTGCAGTTCTAATTCTCTGCTATCACCCCAAGATGTTGCAAAACCCACCAAACTGATTGTGCCCGAAAATAGCACTATTCAAGTGGATCCTAAGGAAGAGCATTTCAAGGGTGATGACCCTAAATCCACTGGCAAGAGATCAAGTGAGTTGCTGGATCCCACAATGCCTGTGAGAACCAAATGCACAGAGCTTCTTTACACAGCTTTAACTAGTTCTTCCACAGATCAGCCAAAAGCCGATTCATGGCAAAACTTTGCAAGAGAAATAGAAGAGCACGTTTTTACCCTTTATTCAAAGAACATCAAAAAATATAAAACATGTATCAGAAGCAAAGTTGCCAATTTGAAGAACCCCAGAAATTCTCACTTACGACAAAACTTGCTTTCTGGAACTATGTCTCCAAGAGAATTTGCCCAAATGACCGTCATGGAGATGGCAAACAAGGATCTGAAGCAGTTGAGAGCTTCCTACACAGAATCTTGTATCCAGGAACATTACCTTCCCCAAGAGATTGATGGCACACAGACAAATAAAATAAAATGCGGACGCTGTGACAAATACAATTGCAAAGTCACTGTAATTGCCAGAGGAACACTTTTCCTTCCAAGCTGGGTGCGGAATTCAAACCCAGATGAACAAATGATGACCTATGTGATTTGTAATGAGTGTGGGGAGCAGTGGTACCATAACAAGTGGGTGTGCTTGTAATTGTAAGTGTTCTCTTAACAGATAACCTGAGTGATACCTTTTGTTTCTACAGCTCTTTTGTGTTTGTTTTTAAAATCTTAGACACACTATTCTTAAAACAGTCCTAAGAAGAAGGAAAGAAAGTCATTTGCTGAAGCTCATGCCACCATCACTAAAAGTTATAGTTTGGGGAGAGAGCGGATGACTATTTGCATTGTGCTTTGTGGCTGTTTAGCACCTTGCTATGTGCAGAATGTAGTTGACAGCAGCTCAGCCTAACCTAGGAGCCTGTTAGAAATGCAGACTCGGTCCCCATGCTTCTGAATCTGCATTTTGTTAGGATCCCCAGGTGATGCTCCGGGATAATTTGAGAAGCGCTGCTTCAGCAATAGGCCTGTGGTTCTCAGCAGTGGCTGCATATTAGAGTCACTGGGGAGCTTTGAAACTCTACCGGTGCTGAGGGCCCACCCTAGAACAATTCAGTCTGAACCTGCTAGGCCTCAACATTTTTTTCTTTCTTTCTTTTCTTGGCAGCTGGCCAGTACCAGGATCTGAACATTTGACCTTGGTGTTACAACACCATGCTCTAACCAACTGAGCTACCTGGCCAGTCCTCAACATTTCTTTTTTCATTCCTGAAGTTATTTTAAGATGCAGTCAGAGTTGAGAACTACTCATAAATAGACTGTCATTTGATCATTTTTATAGTTCTAAGAAAAGTGTTATTCTGTGCACTTCACAGATGAGGAAACTGGTCCACAGAGGTGCCTGACATGCCCAAGCCCGACTCAAACTGATCCCAGATTTTCTTCCCCAATTCACAGTCTGAGACTGGCTCAATATTGAGAAATGTATTCCTGGAGATAAAGGACTAAATTAATAGTGTCTTTAGGCACTAATGTAAGATGACTAGAACTTCATTATTTTCTCCTCCTTTTTCTCACCTTACAGATCTCCCTTAAACCATGAAAGTTACCCTATAACTCATCCCACAGTTAAAATTTTGTTTACAGCCCTCGGCGGGAGCGCCGCCGCGCTTCCCAAGCGGCGCACTATCCAGTGCGCCACCAGGCCGGCCCTGTATTTCTTTTTTTTAATCTTTGCATGAGGTCTTCAGGATATATAAACTCTTTAACTATGACTTCTAGTTTCTGATGTTAGGAGTCTTCATATTCTCAAGGGCATGTGTGTTAGATCTGAAATTCAAATTCAGTCCAGCCACTGGAGTGCATTGACACAAGGAGAGTCACCAGCAGAGACCAAAGAAAAGAAGAGGATGTCTCTCTCCACAAAGCCCATTCCAGAGTGACAGAAGAAGCATCTGCTCTACGATAATATTGGGGGACCTGAATACACCCCTCAGCATTGGACAGATCATGTAGGCAACAAATCAACAGAGTAACCATTATTCTTTCAGAAGGAGAGAAGAAATCTAGGGTTATCAGAGGGGGAGGGAGAGGGGGATAGGGAGAGACTGAACAAGGGGCATAAAAAATAAGTATGATTTGTAACAATATATATGCTAGTAATATTGATTTGATCAACATATGTCAATGTTGAACCCCAAAAATATGTATAATCAATTATGATTCAATAAAATTTTTTTTAAAAAAACACAACAAGCCTTCTATGTGGATACAGCTGATTTTTTTCTTTAAAAAAGTCATAGAATGTTTGTTATTTTTATAGTTTTAAAAAGCTTCTGAGTTATCTACAAACCTACACATTTGTACTTTTTCACCAGCACTTTTCTGCTAACTACCTTTGTTGGAGCCCTGAAGGCCTAAAGATGTGTATATTTTTCCCACCTCATAACGCAAGTTCCCCAACAGGTGCCTAAAACTAAAACACATTCCTGTTTTCAAATGAGTTTGAAGAAACTGGCTTGAGGCCATTAGTGTGAATTCTGTTTTAATATCTTTTCTCCCTGCGGCTTCCCAGGGCTGCTTTATTGTGACACAACATGTTAGTTCTTTAAAGAGTAACTTGCAAAGTCATCTAAAACCTAGTTTCACAAAAACGTTTCATATGACTCAGTATGGTTTTAAAAACTATTCAGTGATTATGAAAGAGCCCAGCACATGAAAACCAAGTTTGATTAGTTCAAGTCTGTGTTTGTGTTTGCATTTTGGAGCTTTTGTGTGTGTGTGTGTAGTTTTTACTTAATTCTGGAATTTTGCAAACTAAACTTGCAGGCAAATAAAAGCACTTGAAATGGAAATACCCTTTCCCTCCAAGATATAGAAATCTGTGTGGTCTTCCTCATTTTGTATCAACTTTTGTCAGTGAGTTTTGCAGCTAGAGTTAGTAAAATAGTAATCTGGGTTTTTTCTTTTGGTTGATGAGACAGCATTACATTTTCTAAGTGTAGATAAAAGTTCTTTCACATTCTATGTCTTATTCCCTAAAAAAAAGGGGGGGGGGTGTTTTCTTTAAAATTGCTTGTGAGGTAAAGATACTAATTTGAAATCCCTTTTACAGAAACAGCAAGCACAGAGGCCCCAAGGCGGGAGGGTTCCTGTTATTGTTAAGGTACAGCAGGATTCAGCTGCAGCTGAGGTGCAGACAGTGAGGGCAAGAGGGTGAGGGATGAAGTTCAAGAGGCCACTGGGTTCATGAGGGACCTTGTCAGTCGTGATAAGGACTTGGGGTTTTTTATTGTTTTTATTTTTAAGTATGATAGGAAGCCACTGAAGCTAGGGAGTTTGTACTGGAGATTTGAATGCCCTGGAAAGATTTCTCTGGCAGTCTGTTGATATAGATGGGGAGGGAAGCAAGGATGGATGGAGGGACTTGAGCTAGGTGTCCGTTGCAGTGGGCCAAATGTCACATAGTGGCTTCAAACAAAAGTACTCAGAGACTGCATCTTTACAGTCGACCAAGTTCTTGACAATTTTGCAAATGGATGTTTCATAAAATACACTGAACCCAAAATTCTCTACCTGTGGCCTGTAATAAAAAATAACAAATAGTGCAGGAATTCAGCAGAAGTGTATCCTATACCCTGTTTGCAGTGGTTACCAGGAGTCACTGCATAGGGCATGAACAGTTGTTATACCTGAATGTAGGTGGGCTGTCTTGATAGGTTTTCCCATATCACTCTCCTTTTGTCTGTGTTACTTTTTTTAGATAAAAAGTTGGACACAATTGCAGCTCTGTCTCTGCCCTGAACACTTCCTGCGCTGAGAGGCTCCTTTTATTCCCTATTACCATTTCTAAATGCCAGTCGGGAAGCTGACAGCTGGCAGTGCCCCACTGCCTTTGCAAGGGCTAGGCCTTCATCTTCTAGGTCAGATTGCCTTGTTATTTACAACTTCCCAGTAAATGCAAAATATTTTACCAAAATGGGTATATTTATATCTCTCAGAGGTACTTACTGTAAGTACCTAGATTCTAAAAGGCACCTTCTTGCTTTCAGAAGAGCCCCACAATGGCAAGGGAGAACTGACAACAAACTCATATAATCCCATTTGCATTATTATTTAAAGTTCAGTTTCCAGAGATGTTGCCGTGCGTGCGTTGTCAGAAACGCTCTGCAGTAACAATTGCACATTGCTTTACCCTTTGCCAGGTGCTGGGGGCAAAGAGATGATTAAGACTTTGTCCCAACCCTCAAGACCCACAAAATGTAGGGGAAGCACGATGTGATGTAGCCAGCAACCATTTTACATTTTAAGAACTATGAGAGACACCAACTTAGAGAGGCAGGGGTGCAGAGGACCCTGGGGGATCGAGTAGCCCAGTGTGGAAGGATCAGGGAAGGCTTCATAGAGGCCATGATCCTTAGGGTAAATCTCGAAAGGAAGATGGCCAGGCAGAGGAAGGGGGAAGTATGTTCCAGCACATTATTTGCTAGATTCCTGGCACTTTATCTACAGCATCTCATTTAATCTTCAAAACTGTCCTGTCACACAGCATTTTAGAGGCAAGGTAACTGAGGCTGAGAGAGATTAATTCACTTGCCCAAGGGTACACAGAGACAAAGCCAGGACTATCTTATAATAAAGCATGTGGGTTTGTTTTTGGGGGGAGTTGGTTGGTTGGTTTGCTTGGCATATCAGTTTGCTTCCAGAAAAATCATCAGGCTTCCCATTAATTCCAGGCAAGGTACAGCTGTTTTTTAACTTTTTTTTTTCTTTCAATGACAGGAGTATGTAGTCCATGGACTCCACCCTGGCCCAGTGCTATGTACTCCTCCCAATGAGGGGGAGATTGGGTGGGACCACCTGGCATGGGTTGCTGGCTCCCCTGACACAGGGGAACCTTCACAAAGCTTCTTGTGGCATCCATGTGGTTTATCTGGTTGACTGAAAAGTGAGTGATGATCAAAATAGTTAACTTTTAAAATATAAAAACATAGCTTTTTAAGGGACATTTACATGGGGTTTTTTTATGAATTTGAAGACTATAAGTATATAAATGCACTTTTAAATACCATTGCCTAAATGGTATATGAAATACCATGAATAAATAAAATATTTATATAAATACTTATATTTATATAAATATTTGTATTTATATAAATATTTGTATTTATGTAAATACCATAAATTAAGTATTTTTATTTATTTATTTATTTATTTATTTATTTATTTTTTTTTTTTTTTAAAGATGACCGGTAAGGGGATCTCAACCCTTGGCTTGGTGTTGTCAGCACCACGCTCAGCCAGTGAGCAAACCGGCCATCCCTATATAGGATCCGAACCCGTGGCCTTGGTGTTATCAGCACCGCACTCTCCCGAGTGAGCCACAGGCCGGCCCTAAGTATTTTTATTTATAAATAAAATATAGGGCCTTTCTATCTTCATGTTATGTCTGTAAGACCTAGGGAAATAACAATCAATTAAGAAAAAATAGCCACACTATTTCGTATCTTTTGTTAAATTATTATAAGTGCCCTACAGGATGGACAGTCAAAAAAATAGAGTTAAAATAAATTTGTTGGACGTATTCTTGCTTTGTTGTAAAATGTAAATGAGATACAAATAAGAGTAGGTTCTAGTTAGTCATTAATCTTTTTCAAATGATGACAAATGTTTTTTAAAAATCTAAAACAGCCATGGAAAAGTTACAGATCTAAATCAATAAGCCAGCTAAAATACCACCCATTCAAAAACTTCTTTACTTTTTATTTCTGGAATATATTCACGTTTGAAATGTATATAAACATGGCCATAGATAGCTCCCCAGCAGCTGCTTTTAAATCATCAGAATGGTATCATAATTCACTAAATTCACCTTTGTGTACTGAAACAAAAAATTTATGAAATTTCCAAGGGTGCCATTGGGGCCCTGAGGCATCTGGATTCTACCTAATGTGCCTATCCGTGAACGACTGAAGACATGGGCCTGCAAAACCTGTTTCAGTTTTCCTTCTGTAGCCACAGCAGAGCCAGGCCCTTGTCCAGTCCCACGTGGCTCTTCCTCAAGGCCTGTGATTACCATGCAACTCCGATGGGAAAAGCTGAAGTCAATGTTCACCCATGTCTAATAGAAAAGGTCTGGAAGGTTTAAGTGGACTGCTTTGGTATTGATGAGTCCACCAGGCCATCTTACCTTTTCTTGTCTTTAGTGTCTTTTCAGACTGAGGATTTCCATTTCTGCAGTTTTGTTTTCGTACAACAGATGGATTTTTGCCCCCCAGCTTTGTGAAATCTCACAAATTGCTGAGCAGAAAACGTCCGGACAATTTAGTGGATTTCTATAATCATTTAAAAACAAGATGATGGCTAAAGAACACGGGGGATTCTTTTTGGGAGTGATAAAAATGTTCTAAAATCGATTGTGGTGATAGATGCACAAAGCTATGAATATGCTAAACACCACTGAATTGTACACTTTAAGTGGGTGAATTGTATAGTGTGTGAATTATATCTCAACAAAGCTCTCACAAAAAAATCAGATGAACCGAGGGAGGGAATTGGAGACAAGGTCTCTACTGGATATTTATCTCAGTGAGTCATTCTGAACCTTCAGTGTTCCAATTTACTCATACGTGTAATGGAGAAATGA